CTTTTTAAACCATGGTTCAAAAAGAAGGATTTGGTCCAAAATGCGATATTTTTTCCCAAAAAAAAAATTGGCTGACGGGCAAAGGGTTAAATGGGCTTTACCAAATTGTCTGAAAGAAGCCATTTTCCATATAAAATTGTAGAATTTACCAAATTCAGCATGAGGCAGGTTTGTAATCCGGAGAAAAAAAAGTAATTCTCATGTTAACGTTAATAAATACGTATGAATGCAAGTTTTAGCCTCAGAAAACAACCGTTTCTGTACTTGATTAACTTAATCCCTGCTATGCAGAAAATTCTAGATCATGACATGAGCCAAACTATAAAGTTCCGACGGGTAGAATTATCTTCTCATAAGTGCACGTGCAAATCCAAAGTCCAGAATGTGTTAAAACAAAGTGCTCTTTTTCTCGCTGTGTTTTAAATGTTCGTCGTGTTTTAAACATTAACTCTTAAATATCAGTGAAAAAATGATTGCAATGATACGAACGACTAGACACTGATGAAGCTATGAAGAAATGAGAGCACCGAGGCGGCAATCTCAACTTCCACAACTTAAGTCTGTGAAAAAAAAAGGCCAGGAGTGAAATTGCATCCCGGGGATTGCAAGGGCCTAGGCGAAAGAGCGCTTGGATTTTCCGGCTAGTTTACGTTATGTAACCGAACTTGAACATATATACAAGCCATTCCAAGTGGCAGGAGGCAACTAGTAGGCTGTTAATAAGAATGAACCAAGTAGGACGCTCAGTAGCGACAACAACGACGGTAACAAAGACTTCAAACAAATCAGTTGGTTCAAGCAAAAAAAACTCTGCCTTTGTGGCATCAGACAATGATCTTTTTGCATTTTTTGCCGTTACTGACTCTAAGCGCACGACTGCCACGGTTACAGTCCCCAAGGGAATGTGTCTGGTGAATCGGTAAACCACTCCAAGATGAATATACCTACATTTGACATTAACCTTTAGGCGAGTTGAAATAAACCCATCAATTTTTTAGGGAAAATTAACGAAGATAGTTAAATGGCTTCGTAGTGCTTAAGCCTCCTAGAGTCTAGTCTGTTCCAGGCGTTCAGATCGTGGGGACAGCGCAAAGAGATTCTTTCATATTTTCTCTCTCTTACTTCGCGCCCCAAACAACTATCCGATGTCCTGGAACAGGCTACCTAGAATCCACTAGTGGTGGAAGCGGAGCGCAATCAAACACGGTACCTTTAGAATTGTGGGTCACATGGTGCAGACCACTCTGATCTGACACTAAAAGACTGATTAAATATAACACTGCTAGAACGGTAGCCTGTTTTCTTGCCATTTTTTCTTTTACTTTATTAAAGACTCTCGTAAGTTTTTTGCGGAATATTTGAATCTGTTTGTCTAGTTGCATTGATTACATCGACGATCGTCGATGGTTAGTTCAATCACACTGTACCCCGTTTTTGACAGTTTTGTTTATTGTCAGTTGTTGCTTTATTACTCTCTCTCTCCTGAAAAGACGTTTAGCGGCAAAAGATCGGCTATAACGAGATCGTCCATAAGGACAAGATACTGACAAGATTAACATTAACGTCACTGAAATTCTTCTCTACTATAAACTACCGACTATATGAGGTTAAGTGACCAACTTAAAGGTAAAGGTATTCAAATACTCCCATTACAAGCGCTGGTTAACCCTTCCGAATCAGAGTGAATGAAAAGGTTAGATTAGATAGGTGGGCTCTCTAGCTGATTCAGTCAGTCTAGGGACCATCTCTACTTGAGATATCCGCCAGATTCATTTTCTTTCTTCTAGTGTCAACCAGATACAGAGTACGATTGAATTTCTACAAGACGTAAGTGGCGGATACAGCATTCATTTAACACCCATGAGTTATCACCAAGAGTTAAATGGCATTGACAGACAACCCAGGGTTTGGATAAAAACAAAAAATAAAAAACAAAAAAAAGCAAGCAAAACGAAGGAAGGGAAAAAAAAGATCTGTAGGTGTTCCTGTCCCTAAAACTCTGAAATCAAACATAAGGACAGCCCTATAACTTACGGTCACCCCGATTTCAGCCAAATAAGGTAAGTAGCAGTGGGAAAAAGTTATGTTTTGACCTTACGGGTCAGACCTATCCCTGACTTATTGAAAGGTGGATAGTTGAAATTTATTCTACAAGAACATGTATAATTGACCTCAGTATTTGAAAGAAACACACTGTTACTCCATGAGATAGGCAACAATCCGGCTATACGGTTCATGTTTTACCTCTAAAACAATTCAGTTTTTGTTCACGCAGTCGCTCACGAAACCAGACTTTTAAACCTTTTAGCCCAATTAACTTGTTATTGAATGATGAAACGAGTCAACTTACTACAAACAATTTAAGTTGTTCCTGGATTTTATCCAATAAGCGATTACGTTTCATTTCAGTCTCCAAAAAGACGAACTTTAAGTTTTCTGTCACTGCTCAAATAGTTCAAACACACTGCCGACATATCTTTCGCCGTGGACGGGGAATAAAGAAAGCGACATCCCATAAGTAAGTTTTGTTGACTTTTCTGTCATTGGCTCTCACTGTTTGTTATTCCCCCCTATCATCATTAAATCTTTAATCTTTTCAAAGTGAATGATGAAACGTTGGAGAAGTTTTTTGTTTTGCAGCAAAAGTCGCAAGACATGCTAAGAGGCTATTTAGTTTGAACAAGCCGAAACGTACGCTAAAATTTTTCGCAATTTTACGTTACTAGAGTTTCGACTTATTTCAAGTTCTTATCGATATTAGAAGTATGTGCATCTATAACTGTGGACGACATCCAAGCCCTAAAGACATCGAATTTTCTATCAGTGAGCCCCCAAGCAAAGACACGAACAGCGTAGCATTGAAAGTATTTTATGAGAGGGATGATGTTATAACCAAGAAAATATTTAACTACCTAACGGCACAATTTGCTCTCAAAGTAATTCCCTTTTAACGAAATAGGCTAGGAATGTTGCTCATCGCAGAAATTTATTATCAGCCATTCTTATTTATCCTCATCCATTAACGTCATAACAAATTCTCTTATTTCAAGAGGTAACTAACCCAGGAACATTTAAAAATGAATTATCACTTATCGGCAGAGTAGCGTATTTGGATAAATATTGATTTATTCATTCATTCAATTTGTTGTTATCCTGGTTCGTTTGTCTGCAGCGGCAGATCTGTAAACTGAAACGCTTTGACGAAACACGTCTAAGGTTAGATGCATGGTAAATAAGGGCTTTCATTGTTATGTAAGAAAATGGCTACGTTATAACGATAACCTTGGGGGGAAGCGGGGTGGGGTTAGGGGGCGGGCTAGCAGAGGACCGCACTTGTTAGAATTTTGAGACACATAAAGAGGAAAAGAAAACGTTAGCTTGGGTATATTTGGCCTCGTTAACTTGTGTTAATCAGGGTTTTTCAGTTAATTTTGCACCTCAGTTTCAAGTTAAAATCATTTGTCACTTCCAAAATGTGCAAATTCGCAAAGCAACCGAAATGGAATATAAAGAGTAAAGAGCATTACAAAATTTTTCTAATGACGTCATTTTAAATACAGTGTTTTTCTTTCTTTTTTTCTTTCCCTTGTTTTTAGTTGTTTTGTAACGAATTATTTCATTTCTGACTTATTTACAATTTCTTAATGGCAGGTTGAAACATGACGTCTTTCTACACCTTCGTTCTAATTACTGCTATGGCGTTGATTTTTGGGACTGGCACGTCACCAGTAAGTGCTAAAAGAAGTCTAGAAAAACGTAAGTAAATACCTCTCTTTTAATAAAAACTGAAGTAGTAACGGGGTAAAACTGTAGTATTTTTTAAGTAGTTTAACGTTTTTATGCACAATCACTTGAAAATCTGTTAATTCAGGCATTGTTTCAGTGGGCCTTGAATTTTGATTCAAGTAACTTTTTTTTTATCTATCTCGTTCTTTCGTTTCCAATGAAAAAAGCCCGGTCTTTCTTAAGGATGAACTGACTGTGGTCATTACAGGTCTTACAGTGGAACCTCGGTATAAAAAAGGGTCAAGGGACTGGCCCAATTTTTTGGCTATAACGAGGTTTCCTTATATCGAGGTTCTTTCCCATATATTCTCAGTAGTACTCCTGGAGTAAAAAAAATCGTTGGTTATACCTATGACTTCGTTAATTAGAGGATCGTTACGTCGAAGTTCCACTGAACAAGAGCAGTTCAAGTCTTCCTACTCCCACTTTATGATTGCCGATTGCTGTACCGCTTTTATTCAAATTCGGAAACGTAAAAAGGAAAAGCTTTTACAAGAAAAAGTGAGGTTTTAGGCAGTGAACTTAAAAGCATGATAACGAAAACTGGCCAAGGCCTTTCAGCCAAAAGACGATAATGCTATTCATTTTTTATAAGAATACCCTGACTTCCATGATTTCGGAGCCCTATGTTCCTGTTGACCGCAAGAAAGTGGGGCCAGGAAAAAAAATTCACTCTACGTTAACACTTAAACTACCAGCGGCATAACGAGTTTTGTGCGGTGGTTCTAACTTTTGAGTCTGTTGGCGAAAACGTTTGGTGCGACCATTCAAATAAATCCTTTTGGGGTTTAAAAGCGCTATTTTGTTTTTTAGCATTTTAGAAAATGACATTTAGAAGTTTTGTTGAATTTTAACATTGGTCACTTCTGGGATTGAAAGGGTTAACATTATCCTTTTCCACTGATGCTCCAAGGTAATTTGCAGAGATCTTGAAAACTGATGAGAGAGAAAAAGCATGAGGAGAGAGAAGGCAACGCTTTCCTCTCCAGATTAATCGCATCTTATTTTCGCTTGGCTTGCTTCCTGGTGACCTCCCGACTAACTGAGAGCATGAGGCAGGCTACATTATTGCAACACAGAGACATCAACTTTAAGTTAAATTATCCGATACGTAATTATATACACAGCATGATATAACAATGTAAACAAGGCTGATTAGCAAAACCTACGTGGTTACTAACTTAAGACAACTATTCTACGTTTTAGGCAAACCGATGAAGCGCTATTACTGGTGCCCAACTTGCCAAAACACCACACAAGAGACCTGCGATTCATCGTTGACCAACACAACTTGTCCTAAAGCAGAACTTTGCATGGCTTTGTGGGATGAGAACATTTTTGTTCGGAAATGCGTCAACGAAAAAATGCTGGAACTTTTCACAAAAGGTTGCAAGAAGGTCAATTCCAACGAAAAAGCATGCAGTCGCAAGCGTAAATACCACGTTTCTTGGTGTGCCCAATCAGGCTGCAAAGTTAAAGTAAGCAAAACAGCAAGTGATTACTGGTGTCCAACTTGTCAAAATTCTACCCTAAAATCTTGCGATGCGTCGTTGACCAACACCACTTGCCCTAAGGCCGAATTTTGCATGGCAATACAGGATAAAAACATTTTTGCTCGAAAATGCGTCAGCAAACCATTCCTGGACCTCATCTCCAAAGGTTGCAAACATGTTGGTGACAAAATGCGAGAATGCAATGGAAAGAGACATTACCTGGTAACATGGTGCGACAAGCCAGGTTGCAGAGCAGACGCAAACGAGATCCCTAAAGTGACAGCTGAGAAGGCTCCAGAGGATTCCTCATTTGAATGCCCCACTTGCCCAATCTGTAAGTCCCCTGAGGAGTGCGACAAAAAGCTCTCCATGACAAAATGCCCCAAAGCAAGCCGTTGCATGGCGCTTCGTGTTAACGGCACGGTCGTTTCAAAAACCATATTTTCGCGTAACTGCGTAAATGAGAAAGGGTTTTTATTGATCCGAAGAGCTTGTACCAAAAAGCAAGGCTGTGAAGTGGCTACCTGTACCACCACTGGCTGCAAAGCGGCGCTGTAGGCTAGGGCCCAAAAACGCAAACTTATCATACTTCCCATCGTTTAAAATGTTGTTGGTCGGTTTTCTAGTTACAATTAAAAAATAACCTCATTATCATAGAATGAACACTGAATAGGCAGTAACGTATACTAAAAAAGGTGCGCTATAAGGAAATTGCATGTACAAGTGTCCAGAATTGTCTATAAATTTTAGTTTTAATTCAAAGTCCTCGATGCATGAAGAATTACGCAATCGACATCCACTGCTCTGAGTTTTTAAGGGATCGAGGGACAGTCTTCACTACTGATGTAACGAGGAACTAAGTGCCAGCGCTCGAAACTTCAACATTTCAGTATTTTACGCGCGGTGGGAAGTTTACTTATCCTATGCCAATTAATAACTGAAGCAGAATTTCTTATTTGATTTTGTGTGGTAGCATGTGTTCCGTAAGAGTAGAGAATTGTGAAGTCACAAAGAAACGTTATGTGAAATTATGGGATTGGTTGGCACATGAACCGGATCAGAAAGAGGAAGATGAAAAATCTCCACTTGGTTAAAATCAGCTTGTTAGTGTATATTGGTGGGGAGGAAGCACCGTTTTGCTCTGATGACTCCATACAACATCCGGTGCTTATAACTCCTCAGCAGTTTGCACCAACAGGCTCAGTAAGTGGACGTTTTTCAACTTGCTCTTTCTAGAAATGCCAACCTATTCCATAATTTCACAAAATGAGTCTAGTTTTCATTACTTCTCTTATCTATTGAATTTTATTTCGACTGGGGGTTGGGATGTGAAGCACAAAACAAAAGCATTCCTCCCCCACCCACAATTTTGAAAGGCTTTGAATAAAACCACCAACAAATGTTTATTAAGCGGGACTTTTCAAAATTGTATCAAACTTATACCCAATAACTTCAGGTACATAATAGACTTGTCCTTTGTATTTACACTGTATTTACATTCTAACAATAAAATAACCAGTAGAACACTTCTCAATGTTTCTCTTAAAATAATAACCAATAACATTTCTTCGGTCTTTTCACATTAAAAAAGTGATTAAATTAAAAGATAATAAATACGATGCCAAATGCATATATTGCAAAAACCATAACTTATGCAACCCCGACAAAAAAAAGAATTTCGGCTTTCCTATATTGCATCAAACCTATTTTCGATATATAATAGGAAACATGCAACGGGAAAAACATGGCTATGGATCTGCACCCATACTGTCAAGAGCTATTTAGATTCATGTTATTATCCGTTGATCCCTTAGGCGGAGTTTCTGCTGGATTGTGCGTTTTTCTTCCTGTCAGCCAGTAGGTTCTCGTTTTCCCTCTTCCCTGTTCAAAAAACCAAATTTTGTGTTACGTATTGTGACAAGGTTTTATTGCACAAAACATTGCTTGGGTAATTTCGTCATTGAAGGTCTTTAGTCCAACGTTCAAGAAACTTCTTTGCGAATGTGCAAATGGGTTACAACAAGAGCCACAATGGGACCATCATGGCTCCTGGTTACAAAGAGACAAAACGGCCAGTGGCGTTTTGTGGTTAAACGTTTCTACTACCCCGACCGATCAAGAAGAGGCAACTAAACAATGTACAGCAGGAAACTAAACCTTAAGTTCTGTCAATCCACGGAACTCTGTTTCAAAATCTGTCCCTCTCAAAGACTCGTTACAGCTTTCACTAATATGAATCCTCATGGGCTGAAAAAAAAATCACAGTTCACCAAATAATGAAACATTAACAATATTTTATGTTGCTCTTGATGCAATCTTGATCAATGATCTAACGATTGCTCTCCTACGACACTTGAAGAAAATACACCGAGACCGACGCGCTGTCCAATTAGGGGTCCGATCCGTCAGTTAATTGGAATTGCTCCGTTGTTGCAGGCCAGGAACATTATCTTTTGACTTAAACAAGTATAAGTACTGAGATGAAATGGAAGCGTCACAGCTTAGGACTCAACAATCAAGGCAAAAGCTAAGTTGATATTTTCTTTGAGAGCTATCCGTAGAAATATAACTTTTAACCTGGGACCAGAGATAAATAGTTATTTCCACATCTGCAAGTAAGTGAAGATAAGGGTTATTTAAGAATGGGTGTCAGCCCACTCCGCCGGTTTACCAATAAAAAGTGTGTTGTGAAGACCCGAGGAAGGCTGGTCTTTCTGCTTTGGAGGAGATCGACATGGTAACTGCTTTTACTGTGTCAAGCTGCCACCCAATGTCTTTGACTACCACCTGCTTCCAAAGAACCAGAGACGCTAGTGGAAAACAGACACTGCATGTCCAGGGCTGGTCATAAGCACAGTTTCAAGGGGGTGGTGCTTAGATGGGTTTCAATGGCGTTTAGGCTGAAAAGCGTCATCGCGGTCTCAGGAAAGGACACATCAGTGCAAGCAAAGAGAATAGCTCGAGTTGACTTTCCATGGAAATGAAGGTTGGCTTTTGAGGCTTCGTGGTGTATATGTAACATACAGTGCTGGATATGGCCGTTGTAGTGTGTCCTAACAGCCAGATCATGTTGATTTTTCATAGTTCAGAGGTGTTCGACGGTCTAGTGAAAATATCTATATACCGAGGCTGAGTAGATGGTGTCACTTTCACTGACGTTTGTATAACGGCCAGGGACTCACTGTTTGTAAGTTTGAGGGTTTGGGACTGGGAGCATTTTACTAAGCCGCGAGGATTGCTGGAGACAGCCTGGCTCTTGGGACTAAATGGCCCAACCGCATATTACCAGCTCAAAATAGCCCCCTTTGCACACATGTATATATATTCTGTCACTGAAAGATTGAGAATACCTACCAACGAAGTTGTTCTAAGTCTGGCTGCAATGTTTACGCTGTCGCCAAATAAACAGTATTGTGGCATCTTTTCCCCGACAAGACCTGCCGCCACTGGACCTAAATGTATCCCTGCGAAGTAACACAGAAAACGAGAATAAAATTTAATTACGCTAAAGAAACATCGCAAGAAAATTAGTTTTTTACCTTTGTAGTCCAACAATTAATTGAAACTTGGCCATAATCACTTGCAATCCCGGGGGGGGGGGTACTCCCTTATAAGGGCTTAATGGGGACGTGCGGCCAGCCAGGGTATGTTTTTCGGAATTTTTGTCTTAAACAGGGTATCGATTTTATCATTTTTTGTCTTAATCAGGGTATCGATTTTATCAGTTTTTGTCTTAAACAGGGTATCTTTTCTTGGACTATAAACAGCCTACGCGTATGTTCTACGAATGTCTTAAACAGGGTATCAAAAATCGGAATTCCGACTTAAACAGGTTGGAAAATCAACGATTTTTGTCTTAAACAGGGTCAGGGTATAAGGGACCGGGCTGCACCTCCCCACCCAAGGATATATCGAGTATCCCCCCCGGGCTTGCAATAAATAAGATTCTTCTAACAAACTAACGGATCAAAAGTACCAAAGGTTCTAGGTACTCCTTTTAGTAAGAATGATAACTTGTAATCTTTCTTAGATTGAATTGAAGTCATGCTAATCGTACTCAACATTTACTTAGTGTACCTCTAATGTTGCAAGACTGAGCTACCGGGGACCGACATCATGAAAATATTTTAACTGACAAACATAATGACAGAGTATTTAGTACTAACAGTTTAGTTGAGTTCAAACGAGTTTCAATTATGGTTTATGGCTGTATTACACTTGGAAAGAAAAAAAAGTTCCTTAAGCCAAACAGAAGAATCGACGCTCGAAAAGCTTACTTTTTAGCTGAGTGTGACTCCATGAGCTTCACATCTCATCGGCTAAAGATTATTTTAGTTTGAGACCCTAGCCTAGCCTTAAAATGTAGAAGAAACTCGATCAAGTGTAAAAATAAATACGCAAAAGTAAGCATGTGGTATCCGTCAAATCTCTCACCTATAGTTACAGTCAATTGCTCCTCTGTAGAAGGGTCTTTCAGTTCTTTTACCGATTGGAGAATGTCTAAAGCCATTGCAGCCACAGACTCAGTATGGTGGTCCTTTCTTACTGGTACACCGTTGACTACCATGTATTGAGCGTCTCCAAGGGTCTCAAACTAAAGAATTCCAAAGTATCTTGGTCTATAATTGGCTTATAAACATTATCTTGTGAATGATGGGCTTTCCAAAGTCCCCTTTTTGCAGTAGATCGATCTCAAGACTGAGCGGTTATTGATACGATTGCGGCCAGCTGTACCGAGTCTAGCCAGGGGGATACCAGTGCTCGATCTCTACGATCTCACGGCAAAAATAGGGCACTGTGAAAAGTGTGCTAAGTAAATGATCATTGAAAAAAATATCCAATGTTCATTGCTAATTGAGACGGTCTACCAAGCTATAAGCAAAGCTGTATATATAGCCCTTCAATTATTTCAACCCCAATGATATCAGCCAGAAATAAAACTGAGTGATGTCAATGAAAATTCTCTGAAAGTTCGACGATGGCAAGTAAATAAGGTCCTGTCGGTGACTTTCATCTTTCACTGTTCAGCTTAGTTGTAATTTGGCATTCTCGGTAAAGTGTACATCATTTTAAGTTTGCACAGAATCCAGTAATTTTTACCTTGTCTTTTTAAGACTTAATAACTTCTTTTGCAGTTTCGAAGTCTAAGGAACACACCCTTTCGCTGGACGAAAAAATGGATTTGTACAAATTTGCTTCCTGCAAATATGTCGCAAAATTGTGAAATTTGAAGAGTAAATCTGGGGCAAAAATGTTAAACACCACATAAACATGTACACCCCCTGTTTTGTGGTAAAAGTGGCATTTACCATCTTTGCCCCAGATTTACTCTCCTCAGTTTTTACATTTTTTTCGACCAATTTGTAAGGAGCAAATGTGTACAAATCAGTTTTTTGCGTCCAAAGTTTTACCTTGTAAACGTCGTGTTTCTCGCTCAGTTTGTCAAAGGTCAAAAACATTCTGTTAACCAATGTGACGACCTCCATTGGAGTAACTTTGGAGCAAATGTGATCAAAGGCANCGATCTCACGGCAAAAATAGGGCACTGTGAAAAGTGTGCTAAGTAAATGATCATTGAAAAAAATATCCAATGTTCATTGCTAATTGAGACGGTCTACCAAGCTATAAGCAAAGCTGTATATATAGCCCTTCAATTATTTCAACCCCAATGATATCAGCCAGAAATAAAACTGAGTGATGTCAATGAAAATTCTCTGAAAGTTCGACGATGGCAAGTAAATAAGGTCCTGTCGGTGACTTTCATCTTTCACTGTTCAGCTTAGTTGTAATTTGGCATTCTCGGTAAAGTGTACATCATTTTAAGTTTGCACAGAATCCAGTAATTTTTACCTTGTCTTTTTAAGACTTAATAACTTCTTTTGCAGTTTCGAAGTCTAAGGAACACACCCTTTCGCTGGACGAAAAAATGGATTTGTACAAATTTGCTTCCTGCAAATATGTCGCAAAATTGTGAAATTTGAAGAGTAAATCTGGGGCAAAAATGTTAAACACCACATAAACATGTACACCCCCTGTTTTGTGGTAAAAGTGGCATTTACCATCTTTGCCCCAGATTTACTCTCCTCAGTTTTTACATTTTTTTCGACCAATTTGTAAGGAGCAAATGTGTACAAATCAGTTTTTTGCGTCCAAAGTTTTACCTTGTAAACGTCGTGTTTCTCGCTCAGTTTGTCAAAGGTCAAAAACATTCTGTTAACCAATGTGACGACCTCCATTGGAGTAACTTTGGAGCAAATGTGATCAAAGGCATCTAAGTAGCTGAACATGATGGTGACGCTATCAAAATACTAACAAAGTAACAGGCTTTAAGCTTGTGTTGATTCATAATCCATTGTAGACAGCAGAAGAAAATGGAGACAATCAAAACATCAATCAAGTGTAGAGCCGTTTCATAGTCAGCGGTACTCCCACACACGTTTTTAAAACTGCTGTTATAATAGTGCTCGCACCGCAAAATAAAATTGCTTTTATGGCCTCAGAAACGGCCCATAGCTAAAAGAGAAAGCCTTCTTAAAATGTCCGCTTTGATATAAACACCCTGAGGTCTCAATACCCTCCTCCCTAACGTACTGAACCTACGGGACAATTGATGGAGCAGCACAGATTGGGACATTAATTGAGGCTTCCAGTAAACTTAAGACTGTAATAAGTACTTCTGATTGAAGACGATTTGAACACTAACATTGGAAAATGTTAAAAGCAGTCAGAGTGCACAAGCTATTATATAGACAGTATGCAAAGACCCTATAAGCCCCTTTTATTGAAATCTCTTAAATCAACCAAGCGCATCGTAGAACTATAGAGCAAGCTAGATGACCATCACTTGCAAAAATAGCAGATACAATTAACAGATACACGTTACTTCTTTATTTTGCGATCTGTTCCACTGATCAAATTCCGCACCCAAACACAGAAAAAAGAACCACAGACTGTACCTCACAAGTGTCAATTGCTTTCTGTCCATCTCTTAGTCTATCAGCAACGGCTTTTGGCATCATGCGATGTAGCAGTTGCTCGCTCCTCTGCCGTTCCTCCTCTAGTTTCCGTAAGTTCTCCTCAAGTGTTTTTCCTCTTTCCAACAACTTTGATTTTAGAAAAAAAGAAAGAAAGAAAGAAATTTTCGTCAATTTATGTATCTAGATATGGTATTAAAGCTGCTCGGGCACATACAAACTATAAGTTGGCGAGTTTTCATCCGCAGGGGTGTAATTACCACGTTGAGGCATCAGGTTCAGTTCTGCCGTTCAGTTCCAACTTACGTAATTGTTTCCTATAATTGTACACTTTTCTTTTCTTTTCTTTTTTTTTTTTTCAGAAGCCTGGCCGGCAACTCCCTTGACTTGATTCGACTAATGGGCCATTTCGCCGGTCCTTGCCATTAAGTAAATTTGCTAGGCGTTGTGATATCGATTTGTTAAACATTTTGTGTCATTCAAAGTGGCTTTTTTCGACAAATTTTCGTCCAATCTTAACGATTTCAGCATGAAACAGGTTTGTAAACTGAAAGGAATCGAAGGCAATCTTCATGTTTGACGTCAACAACCCGTAAGACTGCTCCTGAAGTCATAACTTCAAGTGAGTGTGCTTTCTAGTGCTAAGTGCATTCTCGTGGAGCTCAAAATTGTTTCAGGTAATTATTTGTCTTTTATTAAGGCTCATATCAAAATTAGTTCAATTGCATGCACCTCCTGCTTTCAGACATTTTCAGAGCCCGTCGCCTCTTCCTGGCTCTCCAGCGACTTCGACCGGAAGCGATGAGAGGCGCTTGCATTTACAGGCAACTTTAAAAGTCGGCCTCATTCATACCTGATCACGTGCATATTCAAGCTGTGGTAAGGGTTGTATTCCTGAAAGAACCATTTCTTGAGATGAATCATACATTCCGAGGTCACTCATGTACATTCCACTCCTAGCCATTTCATCCACACCTGCTATCCTAGAAGATAATGCAATCAGGTCAAAAGTCTTTTTTAGAGCTACTCTTAGCCAAAGTAACCATGGTAACATATTCGACCTGTAGCCCAGATTCAAACCAGTGTACTTATTGATGTTTATTGATTTTTCGGCCTTTTTTACATATAAATGAAGGGGTGAAAAACATTAAATTACACGTAATATACACATATCGAAAGAAAAGAATCTCAAAAGGCGAGGAAGTCTCAATGAGCCATGAAGACTTATAGGTGAGAATTCCTCTTTACCTTAGATTAAGTTGTTACTATAATAGTTATTATTATCTAACGTATTGATTCGATTAAACACCACAGCGTTTATTAAATTTTAATTGTTTCTGATGCGTCTTTTATTCAAGGGCGGGGTTTATTTCAAAATCACAAAAATTACGGTTAGGAACAGTAAATCATATTTAAATATTATGTAAAACAGAAAAGTGTTTATAGTTCAAAAGTCTCTCTTTTTTGCTGGGGCAGAATCGTAATTGTCTTCATTATGTAGAATGCCTAGTTGTATCGAATTTATTTTCTTACAATCCTCTAATAAACGCCGCATTCTTCTGATTGGATGCAGTGTTTATTGGTAATCCAGCTTCTTTCTGCGGGGTTTAAATGGGTAAATACAATAATTTATAACTTGCGAAACCAAGGCAAGAGTTTCAGATGCTTATTATTCCACTACTTACATAGGTGAGCAGACAAACAGAACAACGTCCTCCTTCTTGAGATATTTTACATGACCTTTCAAATGTAAGTGCTTCAGAATTTTCGCGGAATAATCTTTGTCGCGCAACCTGGACGTTAACACTCCATTCCGTGATACATCCGCGCTGTTCCGTCTAGTCACGTGCTTGTATTGATATTCTGCTTTGCTGGGGTGTCCAAATTCTTCGATAATATCTGGATAAATTTTCTTGCAATTCATTGACTTACAAATTTGTGAGTTAGTTGTTGAGGTTGCTTCGAGATTACTTTCTGTCGATTGCGTAAGTGACGAAGTCAAGTCATCTCTGTCCATAGATTTGACAGACCTCAATAGCGGCTTTTTGACTCTGTAGGTCCTTACACAGGAAATTTTCGCAACAAGCTCGCAAATTACATTCCAAGTTTTGATCTAAAGAGAGAAGAAGCAGGTTTCACCACGTTCACGAAATACGGAAAACAAAATATACAAGTGAGTAATGAATCGAAAAACTAATATTAACAGCAAGCCAAATGACCGTTTCTAGGTATACTACGTAAGCACGTACGTAAGCATAGATATACCTAATACATACATTTAGTGAGGGCTAAAAGCGAAGCTCTGGTTAATATACTCATAAAAAAATATTAAATCATGTAATGCTAAACGGGGACGACAATGAAAATGGCTTCAAGACTAATAGATCTAATTAGCAAAAAGCAACTTTGCACGTGCAGCACGCTTTTTTGTCTCTCCCTTGCAGTTGTTTTGCACGACTACAACGCTTTTTTGTACGACTAAAACGTCAAACTTTCTGGTTACACATCATTTTTACGGAGGAATTGTAGTATGTGTTTACCCAATATTTTGTTTCCTGTGCTCATGTTCGCTTTTATTTTTCACCGCCGCTCATTTTCACCTTTCTGGCCGCTAGCATTTCTCATTTTCTCACCGCCGCTTTGAATTTCCATGTTTTTCTCCCTACGAAATTCGTGTCCTTTGTTTTCAATAACTCGCTCTAGCTGTTTCTCTGTTATCCACGTTAGTGTAAACATAAAAAAAAACGCCGAAAAGGACACGACTTTGTTGTTGGTTTTTCTTTCTAAACGTCCGGGCGGCCATTCGATTTCCTTCCAAATAAAACCTTGAGTTGCATTTGGGTTGCCATACCTGTTGATTGTGTATGAGTTATTTTACAATGGTATGCCTGTGGTGCAGACGGACGGTCGCACGCTCGCTCGCTCGGTGTACGGTCACGTGATTGCCAAATTTTCTGGGATGGGTAGATTACCACATTTCCTTAGCTATGGGGCTCCGCCCACGCGCGGCGCAAAGCGCCGCGCGTGTACCAGCGCTCAAAATGTACATATACCTCTTATCGATCGACGCTTACTATTTGACAGAATGCAGTTTTAAAAGCCCATTGGCATTATGATGAGCAGTTTAACAGCTATCGCACAATTTCTATTTTTCGGGTCTTTAAAGTGCGGTTCGTGCAAGGATGAATTTCAGTAAAACGGCTCGCCAATATGTGACTGTGAGACTAGGTATAAAAAGAGAACCACCGAACAGAACGAAATAATTCAAAATGTAATGGAACGGCTTGGTGGTAGGCAACCGAGTCAATATTTCCAGTAAATAAGCTGCAAATGTCGTATTAATAGGAAATTTGTTATAATCTAAAATAAATATGTAATAAAACGCGTAAAGCACCCTTCGCGATTCGCTCCCGAGCCGCTAGTTGTAATTATTGCAAAAAAGATCATATCGATCTGATAAATATCAATGACAAAACTATTAACGAGAATTTTAACAATACCTTTCTCATTTTCGAAGGTATTTAAAATTTTGAATGATAAACAAACAACCCACGAGCTTAACATGAGTATTTTCTCATAATGACGATGGAACCGTTCCCTCAACGTATCAATCGTCGCTTTGATCACACAAAACACGAAGCTTTCATCTTTTATTTGCTTTCAACTATCTCGCTGAGTTTTTCAAGGCCTTTCTGCCTCAACCATTCGCTCACAAAGAAAGTGTCTATTCCTTTAAACTCTTCCAACGATGTCATGATTATTTTTCCTCCACGTGCGAAATGATTACGATGGTCGGAAGCAATCTCTTAGATGGATGCCATGTTATCAGCAAAACTATTGAATTAAGCCTCTCTATCTTGAATGCAAACAGCAACATTATTTCTATCGAGGCCCGCTAATAATCAGGACTTTAGAGACGTCGACGTCACGTCGTGGCCAACGGGATTTGAAGTTTTAAACCTAGTGCACATTAGTGGAACTGAGGAAAGAGTGATCTCTCCACTGCGCCACAATACACACTTTAAACATATTGAACATAAAATAAAAAACAGAAAGAAAACAAAACAAAACAAAGAAAATTATTTTAATAGTTGAACTAATCTCACTGTCTTTCGGCGGAAGACACGCTGAAGAACAAGGAAAAGGCTTCTTGATTTCTACTCTACTGTTTTAAATTTACGAAAAATCATTGACGTCATGGATGGCGAAGAAGACTCTCCTTGAGACAACAGAGACGACGATGTCAACAAAAGCTTCAAAACATTTTGTAGACCGTCTGACGTTTTTTTGGTTTATTCATCATTTTGTGGTCCTTAAAGTTTTGTCGTAAAAGACAGCTATTTTCAAACTGTTTCCTGATAGCAATTCGTCAATATCTTCATGAACATTAACATCTCTACCAACAAAATCCTTCCCTGAAGCCGCCTTATTAAGAATTGTCAATGCCTGAAGGAGACTAACTCTGACACTTTTTAAGACGCTCTGCGGATTGGTTCTTTGTTCTGTCGTTATGTCGAAGAATGTTCGCACTTGTTTTTAACTTGCATAACCGAAACATATAGCAATTATGGTGCTAAGAGAAAATTAATTACCTGCATGAATTTCTGTTCTCGGTCGTCAGTCCGAATTCTGTGCTTAATCAACTCATGATAGTTTTCAGAATAAAAATGTAGTCACAGCCCCAAGTGGTTTGAATATAAAGAGTAAATTTGAGCAGAAAGTAGAAACAAATTACATATTTTGCTTCCCGCTCACTCAAAGCAGGTCGATTAGAGAACTTTAAGGCGAAAAAACGAGATTCTAGGATTACTGAAACAGCTAAATGCGATCAAAATGTACTCGGTAGTCGCGACTGGGCGAAACAGCTTAACAACTCACCGCATAGCTGAAGGACTGCACGCGAGAGAGAAATAAACAGTCACTTGGTACTGATCATGCGCAATAGCATGTTTATCCGTGGTCGTATTTTATCAATTTTTGACAAAATAGCCGGAAACAAGAGGGGAATAAACATACAGTTTTGTCTCGTTAACAAGCTAAAAAAAAAGTCAAAATTTAAAACGACTTTCATTTTTCTTTTTCTTTTTTGGAATTAAAGACTCACTGGCAATTTTGCAAAATTTTGATTTTTAAAGCCGAAAGTCTATTTCAATTTTTCTAGTTCTCGAATTTAGACATTGAAAATTGATATATTTAATTTCTTAATGTTTAAGTTTCGTTTTTTTTAAGAAAAATCTAATGGACGGAACGTACGCAGACCAAGCCAATTTCTTGTTTTTCGATGAAAAATCAGACTGATGAAAAAATAACATAAATAAATAAATGAATAAATAATTAAGTAAGCAAAAAAGCAAGGGCCCCCATGAACTTGAATTGTCAAAGTGTTATGCTTTCCCGTAATCAAGAATGGCTCTCTTGCGGTAATTTAACCGGTGAACTGAAGCCCTTGAATTATATATATTACTTTTTGAGATAGACAATTTACTAAAGGTCACTATTGATTAGCACAGTTTTTGTGATTACAGCAAATTGTAGTCAAATCAATGTCCTTTACACGCGCTGAGGATACCTTTTGCGACCAACAAAAAGAGAGAAGGACTGTAATTATTTTGTAAAATAAGATTTTTCATCTGACAAAGTTGTTTATATTTTGGTTAAAAACATCTTGCAATGCCTTTATATTCTTGTTATGGTCTAGCTAACTACGAAAAGATGACAAGCATTTCTCTCGACCAAAACGAATAAAAACATCCCGTGACGACGTGCGAAGGACAACAAAATTTCCTCTTTTTTTGGTAAATTTATGTTCATGCGGGGTGAACCGAAACAAGATGACTGAAACTAGACGATTTTATTTAAACAATCGATTCAGACCTTTCATTTTCTTCTCCAAGTGAAGTTACTAATATTTTCGAGTAGCTTAACAGCGCCGCCAATTTTTTTTACAAAAATGTTTTTGTTATTGCGGTGTTCGTTGGTTATAAATGCTGCCGTTTTCACTGTTGCATTTTCAGTTTTGTTCCCCATTTTTTAAATTTATTTTGCACAGAAATGGATACTTAAGAACTAATCTCGCTCAAGCACTTTGACAAACTGACACAAAAACCATTAGCGTGTCTATTCATCCACTGACGGCAATTACATATTTAAAAGCATTTAATTTTTTTAACACACTCCGCAAGCAGATGTATCCTTCTAGTCAGAGCACTTACGTTTTCCCATGAAAATTCCCTTCGTGGTCGTCTTAAGGAAAAAACAGCGTCTACGCGATTGCCAATCAAGACGTTTCCAAGCGTGGACAGTAAAGCTGCTCCAGCCATTAAAATTTCCATGTTAGATGACACGACGAAGCTAAAAGGCATGATATTAAAGAAAGTTTCACAAGACAGTTCACGTCTTTCTCGAAAAGACAACAAGTCCGCGCTAAGAGGCTTTCTAAAAGCGGAGTTATTGAAGTAAAGTTGGTATATAATGTGACATCCAGCGTCTGAAGAAAGGTTTTCGAGCACTTTAACCTCAAGCGTTATGTCGTAAAACGTCCTTGCGATTTCCATGACTTGCCCTATAACATAGCGTACAAATCCCTTGCGTTTAGACTTGTAGTGCAAAACTAATCCTGAGCTTGTTTCTTCAGTACAGTAAAACGAAGGCGACTGTAGCTTTGGGTACGCGAAACGCATGTGTTCATGCAAGTTATCAATCCCGCTTAAAAAATCCCTAAAATGTCTTCCGCTGACTCGTATAATTCTATCGTAGCCATAGTTGCTGAAAAAATTCACGAAACAAACTCCGAAGAACTGAATAAAATCTTCCGGGGTCATGTTCATTTGTTTTCCAACGACCTCTGAGGCAGCACGAGCGATGTCCAACATGAGATTATCCGGGTAACGCTCGTGCGTAACGAATACATGGTTTTTGACTCCTGCTTGAAGGCGGATCAAATTCCAGCTCTTTTCGCCGTATTTTTCCTTGAGAAAGTGTTCCACGCTCTCCAGTAACATGCCGTACATGGCGCGTTATTTAAACATCTCTGCCTACAAGGATTGTAATAATGCGAAAAAACAATTAGCACGGAAAGGTATTTCTAGCTACTCAAGCATCGAGTGTCTAATTTAACGAATGACCAGTTCATTTGGTGGTCCATAGGCCCAGTTTCAATTCACAATAAGGCAAGAGTGGCCTTCACAACGAGGATAAGCCATGGTGAGCAATATGCCCCGACAAGAAGAGTACAGGTCGAAGGCTACATGTATGTGGTTATTCAATGTTTGCGGTTGATAAGGTTACCTAAATTGAGTTGTAAAACATGTGGACACACAACCCACTTAATAACTCTTCAAATAGGCTAAACACACTGGCAGAGAACGAAAAAAATGTTCAACGACGATGTGGAGAATCAAACCTCTTATGCCCTTTTTACACACATCAATTGTTTGTAAAGATTATTTATTGATTCTTTTTCCAGTCGATTTCTCCACACGAAATGTGTAATTTAAATGTAAATTAAAATTTGCTAAAAGCCGGCAAATGAATAAATTTAAATTTTAGCTTATTTGTACACGACAAATAAAGATTACAAATTGTTATAAGGTATTTAGGAGGGAATGCTGCGTTCACTTCACTAACACCCTTTATTTTTTGTTGTCACTAATTTTTTTGGCCGCAAAGCTTATAGTTTTGCCCGGAGTTTTGGCAAATTAGATGGATAATTGAAGACAAAGCAAGACAAACTATCGACCGTCTAATTGGTTTTCACTGTATAAATTTGTTTTATTCGTGTTCAAAAACCGCTGAAAATTACATTATTAATGGCGACCAAAATTCTATTTGATCTACCGGCGAAGGCTGAAAAAGATTACGTTGCATAAATGGCTCGATGCATATCGAAACCAGAAATTCAGAAATATTGCAACCAAATTTAAAAAAAGAAAACCGTAATCAGTTGATGCTTATCGCACTATGTTTTGAATTTAGACAAGACATAGGGGGCAATTTTATGAGATTTCCATCACAAAACTAATTTTTAACTTTGACGACGAGCAAGCCATCTTGGAAAGCTTCGTGATCTATTTCAATATTTCTGAATGGCTAAAAAGCTTTGTTTTTATTGAAAGTATTGTCAATTTTTATTCACCAAGATTAAAAAAAAAAACAATTGTCAGCTTAAAACAATTAAAAACGCTTACCACATCTTTAATATTTCCCAGCTAATTCTTTTATGTTAAATTGGCTTAAGGCAAGTCGAATAAGACGATGTGGTTTAATTGTTAAACATGTACAAGAGTAACGTGCTGTTCCACGGGATAATAGCACGGATCACCGCTATACAGAGAAGAGGGCTTCAATTAACTCAGGATTAACGAAACTAAATTACTCATGTCTCGTCGAACTATACAGATATGGTCTTCCAGGATAAATTGTTTTGACCGTTAAAAACAGCTGCGATCGTGCATCTTTATTCATGTACCTACAAGTTGATGTTTTTTGATTAAAATTAGGGAACTGTGCAAATTTGACGACGATCTGACCATTTTATCTTTACTGGTTACTTGTTATTAAAATACCCTAAGGTGAATAAGGCAGGGATGGATCTTTTAAGGGGCAGCAAGTCCAATAGTTTGAGCCTCAGCTACCTAGCCGTTGAATAGATACAGGAACTGAAATGGACAGTACAACTGTATTTAAATCTGATAAGATAAATGATCGTGATCAATGTTATCAGACCCGGCTAGAGGACAAGTTATCATAGGTTTATGTACTAAAGGTTAACTGAAGTAGAATGTCAATGTTATCAACAACAAAATTAAAATAATATACAAAGGGGAAAATGGAATCAATTTTCATCCGCAATAATTGTTTGTTACGTTTGATGCTTTTTTTTTATTTGACGCGGGTGTAATAAAAACACATCTGAGCGAAGACAAGAATACTCGGCATTTTTGTTGTTGCCGTTGTTGTTAGTCGTGAAGAGGAAGTTTTACTTCAGCAGAGACTTTTCTTGATAATTTACAGCTATGTCGAGAAAGGTTGTCGGATAAAGAGCAGGCACAACCCCGAAAGGTATTGTGGGTGGTTTTGACTTCACTGTTTTTCAAAGAAATTTGAAAGAATGACAGGAGAGGTAATGAACATATGTCTGTGAGTGCTAAGGGAAAGCAACAAAAGTTGGTTTCGACAGTTACAGAGTCAGGAACAGTGTATTGCGCATATCTCACATTACCTTTTGATAATTGTCGCGTGCGCATTTTTTCCGACAACCTTTCTCGAAATAGCTGCATATATTTATTGGCTCATACAGACGGGCTAATTATTTTGTCCCTGAGAAATATTGCTGGCGCCCGCAAAGCAATAGTACGGTGGGGGGCCTTTTGTGACTAGAGATTCTTCGCAAGCTAGTCCGGTTAGACGTGATTCAAGTTTGTAGTTTGGCGTGATAAGGAGAGAATCGGAAACTCCCGAAAACAGCCAGACACTTCTTCCTATCAAGCTTTTATCACGGGGGTATAACGGAATATTTGGAATCGTCAAGGCATTGAAATAAAGTTATTTCGTTTTTTTTCCTTTTTCATCAAATGAGTTTTTTGGGGAGGTTCCGCAAGTTCTGCAAGTGTTGCGGCAGTCCCATCTGTCTTGCAACGTATAGTGGAACTACCCAGAAACGCAATACGTTACTGCATGTGGTCTCGAGCCCAGATCTATTCTGGTTTACGTTCTCAAGTTTGGGTCAAGTGCGAGATAAGCAGTTGCAACACAAATCCGCTAACAATCACTTTAAAGTCACTAGTAGGCGCTAGCTGTGAGGTATGTGAGTTTTTAGCCACCGTAATTTGCCATTGTAAATAATTGTGTTTAGAGATCTCGCCGGGCGTAAAATCGCACGCAAAATCGCGTGCAGAGTTTCAGTACAGATGCAGGCAAAATCAAACGCAAATTCGCGTGCAATTTCCTGATATCTTTTGATGCAGGCAAAACTCTAAAGATTGTTCAAGGTTTGACTAACTACACCCACCCTTCTTCTGTAGTCTACTTACTTACTTGCAGAATCTGCCTAAATTTTGTCGAAGTGAGCCCAAGGCCCAGGTTCACGATCATACCGATGTGCTTCTGCCGTGCTGACCGACAAAGGCATCCACGCCATAAGCACGGCGTCTGAAAAAAACCCGCCGGTTTCTATTTGTTTTGGTTCGACAGGCAGCTCTGCGGTGCTAGAGCTACACGACTCTAGCAAGGCGAAGAATCAAATGTCTTGGTTAACGCAGTGTCGAATTAAATTCATTATAATTTTCGGAGATTCGCGGGATTTTTGATTTTTGTTCCTTTTACCACTGCAGAGTCTTTATACTATGTGCACAAGTAAATTTGGCTCGATCTAACACGATGGCTGATTCTGTATAATTCAATTATAAGCAAGTTAAGCCGGTAAAAGCACAACGTATGAGTTGGGCCTAAGGCCACTTACCAGGACATAGAAGGTGTCGTGTTGGCTCATTCACTTCTCTAGCTGTGAACTGAACCACGCAAAAACCCTTAAAAGTAACATCATATTGAGGAGAATTCCGAGGAAGGGAAAGCTGAAGCTGCCCCATGATAGGGTCGGGTGCTATGTCAGGAGTAAAAAATCGTTGGGCATCTTGCCCTAAACTGCTCAAATTCCAGCAATCCTTACCGGACGATAACTTGCTGTCAACGAGTAGTGTAATGTTGCTATTAAGGAATTTGCCATTTGATCTTCAGTGTAGTAACATAACTAGCTTACTCTATTTTGTTCGTCTAACCTGCGATGTCATCCGGCCTATTGTTGACCACCCATATTAGTGTTAAAACACCAAACTCCTCGTTTCGAGACTTTCAAACAACCGCGATCGACTTCACTGTTCTTGTTTCCGCAGAATAAAATACATTTTTCAAATGCATAGTAATTACGCACGTCTTTCAACTTAGCCTTCGGATGATACGATAAGGATGTCACTGTTTTCTGATAGTGAAAAAGTTTCCCTAACACGAGCCAATTACGCTGAGAGATTCTTTNATCGCGTGCAGAGTTTCAGTACAGATGCAGGCAAAATCAAACGCAAATTCGCGTGCAATTTCCTGATATCTTTTGATGCAGGCAAAACTCTAAAGATTGTTCAAGGTTTGACTAACTACACCCACCCTTCTTCTGTAGTCTACTTACTTACTTGCAGAATCTGCCTAAATTTTGTCGAAGTGAGCCCAAGGCCCAGGTTCACGATCATACCGATGTGCTTCTGCCGTGCTGACCGACAAAGGCATCCACGCCATAAGCACGGCGTCTGAAAAAAACCCGCCGGTTTCTATTTGTTTTGGTTCGACAGGCAGCTCTGCGGTGCTAGAGCTACACGACTCTAGCAAGGCGAAGAATCAAATGTCTTGGTTAACGCAGTGTCGAATTAAATTCATTATAATTTTCGGAGATTCGCGGGATTTTTGATTTTTGTTTTTTTTTTACCACTGCAGAGTCTTTATACTATGTGCACAAGTAAATTTGGCTCGATCTAACACGATGGCTGATTCTGTATAATTCAATTATAAGCAAGTTAAGCCGGTAAAAGCACAACGTATGAGTTGGGCCTAAGGCAACTTACCAGGACATAGAAGGTGTCGTGTTGGCTCATTCACTTCTCTAGCTGTGAACTGAACCACGCAAAAACCCTTAAAAGTAACATCATATTGAGGAGAATTCCGAGGAAGGGAAAGCTGAAGCTGCCCCATGATAGGGTCGGGTGCTATGTCAGGAGTAAAAAATCGTTCGGCATCTTGCCCTAAACTGCTCAAATTCCAGCAATCCTTACCGGACGATAACTTGCTGTCAACGAGTAGTGTAATGTTGCTATTAAGGAATTTGCCATTTGATCTTCAGTGTAGTAACATAACTAGCTTACTCTATTTTGTTCGTCTAACCTGCGATGTCATCCGGCCTATTGTTGACCACCCATATTAGTGTTAAAACACCAAACTCCTCGTTTCGAGACTTTCAAACAACCGCGAT